TAATAGGCACAAGCAAACACACACACACACACACACACACACACACACACACACACACACACACACACACACACACACACACACACACACACACACACACACACACACACACACACAAAATACATCACAACAAACAGATGATGAATAAAACATCTGGATTTTAGCCAAATCTTTCGAAATATTTTTTGAAAAGCGTTAAGGAACAAACACTTCTCGTGGAAACTAAAGAAATAATTTCCAAAATTGCCACCAGAGGCAGATACAATACAAGAACAATAGACCACGAAACAAAACTCTTTGAATTTTTTTTAAAATCTTTCAGATTTTATATTTGTCTGTTCACGTTTCCTTCCTTGTCCACTCTGTATTTTTCTACAGTCTTCGCAAATAAAGCTTACAATGCTTTCTGAAGCTTTCTGAAGCTTTCTGAAGCTTTCTGAAGCTTTCTGAAGCTTTCTGAAGAAAATAACACAAGTGATCACGAATTTATTATCATAAATATTGGTTGAACAATTTACAACTAACACACACACTGAAGAGGAAGCATTAGACGACGTTTTGCTCAATCCTGGACCATTATTAGTTCACAACTCAACTGATGATTATCCTCAGTGGACCCGAATTTTTAAAGAGGTGGTCAGGTAAGCCAGCGGAAGGCCTCGGTCAGATGACCAAAAGCTGTGGGTCGTCATATGCCTAAGACCCGCGTCAGGAAACACTTGTGCTGTTTCCTTATAAACCTTATCTGACCTAACCTAACCTAACCTAACCTAACCTAACCTAACCTAACCTAACCTAACCTAACCTAACCTAACCTAACCTAACCTAACCTAACCTAACCTTACCTAACCTAACCTCAGTGGTCTAGGAATTCAACAATGATGATTTTTTTTTCCACAGACAAACTTTTTTGGAATTTTTGGATGTGTAGGGACTAAGTGGAAGTTCTAAGTAGTTGACATTATCTGGATATGTTATACTGGGAAGCAGTTTAACATCTTCTGATAAAGCAGCGTCATGCATTTCATATGGATTTTCACAGCTAATAAATTATATCTTGGCCTTATTCCTTTTTCGTTAATTTGCTTAAAGACGAGCGTCATTAAGTCTGTATACGCATTGTTTATTAAATATTACGAAGTGTGTATCTCTTTAGGTAGACTTATGTAATCCCGAAAAGTGCAAACTTGATTCAAGGTGAGAGTAGCTCTGATACTTCCTTGGATCAGAAGCCCTTCACCACCATGACGACAACTTAAAGAGTCTCATGTACTGCTTTAAAAAAACATTCCACAGACACTTACGTTTTTACACAAACACTTACATTATTCCCCACTATGCTCGGTAAACTTAATATGCTCCACAAATTCTCTACATATTGTAAAGCCTTAGAATTCTGGCAGCGAGGGCACAGCAGAGATTCTGTTGTTCCCCAAATCTATATTTGGGTCAGCGCGTACTGTCCCAAAACTTTTCCTCTAAAATTGCATTGGAAGCTGCACAAGTTTTTCCGACTCCTCATTCTTTATCATTCCTGCCTACCTCTCCAGCGAGTCTCTTTCATGAACTTGAACATTAGCTGGACTACTTTCATCCCTTTTTTTATATGACACCTTTGATGTCTAAATATAATAGAAAAAAAGTCTAGGTTCTGAACCTAGGAGATTAAAATTACTGAATACGTGTTTTTCTTGGTAACATTGTACCTCCAGAGAGGAGATATTATGTTTGGATACAAGTCACTGACTGTATCATTTTAGAATGTTCTTATTGTCATTATCCGTGAAATTAATGACATCAAAATACACAGTATGTATATTGAGATATACATACATTAGCTCAAGGTACTCAGCAATAACCCACATGGAGATAAATGCTCAGAAAAATAATTGGTCTGTGTATTTCGATCCCCTTCTGGGATAATCTTCTGCCGAAGAGGATCCCAGTAGTGGATTGAAATATAGTGACCAATTAACCTTCTGAGTTTCTGTCTGCATGTGGGTTATTATTAAGCATTGAAAAGTATTCATTACACTTTAGTTATACATACCTCTCGATGTATATATGTTTCTTTACTAGCAGCTTCATTCCATTTCTCATGAATGAGGCAGGAGAATTAATAAATTACATTTACTTAGGCTTCAAAACAATTAATATTTTAAATAGAATAAAGGATTACCATCTCCCATAATTCATTATTATACAGTTAGGCCTCCCGCTGTTCATTGTAAACAATTACTTATATAATTTTGAGTTACGACGTAGTGGGCGTCTTCCCAGATCTTTAGTCCCAGTGAGGTAAATTCATTTCATCATATAACCGAGTGATAGCCCTGCTAAGGGAAATTATTCCTGGGGTTTATTGATTGATTCATTTGTCTGCAAAATTAATTTAGAGTTAAAATTCTGAGTTAATTAGAATCTTGCCATATCCGAAAATTGAAATTTGGTTGCATCGTAGTGATAGTGGTTAGAGGACTTCTGGAGCTTCTTCTCTCCTCTTCTTTTTTCTTCTTTCTTCTTCTGTTCTTCTTGCTCTTGTTCTTGTTATTCTTCTTCTTCTTCTTCTTCTTCTTCTTCTTCTTCTTCTTCTTCTTCTTCTTCTTCTTCTTCTTCTTCTTCTTCTTCTTCTTCATCTTCTTCTTCTTCTGCTTTTGTCATAAATCTGGGCCAAGAGCTCTTACAAAATAACCCTCTTAGGTGGTGTCTTGATGTTGGTGAAGGGCTCTTCATCCAAGGAACTGGAGCTACCCTTCCTCTTCCTAAGATCAAATCTGATTGCTTCCCATTTCCCATGTTCTGTATAACCCTTATTTGTTAAGTGCTTACCAATGAGTATAATAATAGTCACGAAATAATGATAATAATAATTATTAATAATAATAATGTTAATAAAAATTAATAACATCATATCTATCGAGTTTATAGAGAATGTCATAGTTCCTGTTTGAACATGTTTAATAAGTGGAGCACCTTTTGAGGGGGTTTCATGTAAACTTCCTTTTGTGTAGTGAGGCTTCAGGTGTAGAAAGTCGTGTATAAAGAGGCTGAACATACCAAGCAGAATGTGAAGCTGCGCTCATCGTGTAGTAATTAAAAATAATAGTTAAGCTGAACGGGTCACTAGTTATTTGCAGAAATAGGCAGAGGGTCTATTGTGTTCAAAACCTTACGTGCGGAAAAGGAGACTTGTGTGCATTTCAGCACATTTATTAAAGGAATCCTTTCGCCCCTGGAGGGAAAGCACTTCCATTAATAAATGTTCTTAACTTTTCATAGTTTGTTGGAATCATCGTGCCATTTATATACCTTACTTGCAATGGATGATCGTGTGTCATCCTGTGTGCCAAGGAGAGCTGTGTGTAGCACACCGTGATCAGTGAAGCTCTGAGACGAGGCCCTGTGTGAAGTGAACTTCAAAAGGACTTTAATGGAGCTCTTGTGACAGAACCCTGTAAGGGAGCTTTTAAGAAAGTGGTCCGTGAAGAAACTCTTCATAGGTTGAGCTATGTAGCGGCATGATAGAGGTAGAGGCAAGTATCCTGCCTCCTCACTTGATATAAATAGAAGGCTCATAATAGCCAAGATATACAACTCCACCCCTGATAATGGACATGCCCACACACTCTACATACCATCTGCACCCATCTCGCCAGCTATGCAGTGCCCACACCACAACCCACACGATATTTACCTACGACTTCTCTCCGAGGTGCTTAATTATACCAGAACTTCATACGGCGAAAAATGTATGTCCTTCATGATTGGAAAACAAACCTGATATGATTGAAAACTAGACATTATCATAAATAGATATGATCGGAAAAGAGGTTTAGTTGGAAAAAAAAAAAGACATTTGGAAAAGAAAAATGGTCAAAATGAGAAATTGTCGGAATATATATGTATAAATATATATATATATATATATATATATATATATATATATATATATATATATATATATATATATATATATATATATATATATATATATATATATATATATATATATATATATATATATATATATATATATATATATAATTTCTGACCATATCTCATGTCTAAAATTAAGTCTTTTCTAAAGTTTTCTCGGTTAAAGATATATTTTTGCATTAATGTTGATGTAAAAATTAGCGATTTTGTACCAAAAGAACCTTAGGAAACTTACCTAACCTTATTATAACAAGCGCAATTTAATTTAGCCTAGTCCAACTAAATATATTTTAGATAACTTTAAAATAATTTAATAATAAACAAACGCAATCAAATATATGTTTTTCGTTAGCTTCAGAATTATTTTTGCGAAATCATTACATACACAAATTTTTGCTTGCCGTATTCGGCAAGGCGAGCGCTGCTCGCGATATATACAGATCCGAAATAAAACCACATAGAAAAATAATAATATTTAAAAATATATTACTATTTTTGTCACCGTAATTACATTGCATATTAAGATCCCACCTGTTTCTGTAATCTTATTGCATACTTGACACAAAGGAAATACATTATATGTATGACTGTTTTTCATCTCAAGGCTTTATTGACATCACTGGACCATGTCTTTCTGCTCTCTCGCTTTATATATGCAATAAATAATGCCAAACCACTTATTCGATTGTCTCCTCTGATTACTGTTCTCTGGCCGTAGCAGTAAATGTTGGATCACTTGTAATATTACTAGATGCCAATCATGCTGTTCCTGACTTAGTGATGGGGGACTTTTATGATCCGGTAATACAATGGTGGGATATACCGACTAGCTGTAAATAAGACACACAATGCGGGTCATGGCATTTTACTGTGAAAACTTTTCGTCAACCAGGAACTTCAATCAGTTCAATGATGAAGTTACTTGTTCCACCAGGGACTACATCAATTGTTCTTGAAATAATAACCTAACTAGCATTATGTCTTATTTACACTCTTATGATTGATGAGGTCCCTACCACTTCGAAAAAATCTAAGAATACTCTTCATATTTATGAAGGACGTACCTAGGCTGGATCAGCAGGTCTGCTGCACAACTATTTCGTTCTCAGTTTTTTCTGTAAGGAGAAAATACTAATTTGTGAAACTTTTGTATTGAAAATAAACTATACGACACTAGAGAGAGCAAATATGTCATGTACGTTAACCATTATTCATAAATCTGCAAATTTGCATATAAAGGGGATGATGAAAATCACTTGACTTAGAAGAATTATTCTTAAAATTTGCCCCCACTGATCTGGCTACAGTTATTTTAATACAATGTCTGAAGTAGTGAGTTGACTAATTTGTGGCTTAATACACTGGGTGAAGCAGTGAGTTGACTAATTTGTGGTTTAATGATCTGCTTTGGATTAGTAATTTAAAACTCAGACGAAAGAGAATAGTTTTACTAGTCATATGCTTAACTCATTTATCCTACGGAGAAACAAACATGACTTGACTTTTGTATTTAGAGTCTTATAATTCTCAATCAAATATAAATATATGATAATGCAGTGTTTTGTGTAAAAATTCTCGTTGGATTTTTTAGGTCACAGTTGATCAGAGTAAATCCCAGGAGATGGCAAGACTGATCTTATTTCCATACATTAATATGTATGTAAATTCGATCACGTTTCCTGAGAAGATATTATGATTCCTCTCTGGTGATTGTCTGTACTAGACAGATGGCTAGTAAAGGTATATAACTATATTAATAACTAGGCTGATAACTAGATAAAATTAATAAATCTCTAGCCGAACAGACGACCTACGTAGATTCAAGACAGGAAAGATAACTCGTTAAGATTTATGACTCTCTAACCAGACTTGGATTCATGACACTCTTCATGACAGGACAAATAACTAGTTAGGATTCATGACTCTCTAGCCACACACATGACTTAGATTCATAACACTCTTCATGAGAGAAAAAATAACTAGTTTAGGCTGATGGCTTCCTGAATGGATGGTAGACCAGTTAAAGATCACGACTCAATTCTTAGGCTTAATAATATTTTCACGCATCCATGAATTTATATTGTATGAATCCACAAGTGTGTATGTGAACACTATACGTGGGTATATGTTTCCTGTACTTGTGTATATGATCCCTATGCGTATGTATGAAGAAATATATATATAGCATTTGTTTACGTTCACAATATACAGGCGCTACTCTAGTTCTTTTGGTAGTGTGACTGTGTCATGGTTAGCAGAAGGAGGCTCGAGCCTCCACCACTTAAATCTCTGAATACCACACCCGGAATTTTATGCTTCACTCAGGTATACAAGAAATAAATCGATTATCCTTACAAAATGTCCTTTAATACAGCTGCTTATGTGATATTCACTAAATTTTAGATAGTGAAACAATATATGTATTTTTGACAGTGTTCGGGAAACGTGAAAAAAATACAGTATCATTAATTATTTTATTTTATTTTCCTGAGGACATTGCACTCAGTGAAGCCTAGCAGACTTGACTGATTTGTTAGGTTTGGATTCAGTCGTTGGACTGCTTCCACTCTCTTATAATAGAATTTGGTACTGTAATGAAAATCTCGCATTAATTTTTATATCTCATTAGTTTTGTCATTTTGTTTTCCTGTGTCTTTGCTACTCTGCGTTCTCGTGAGTGTGTGTTTGTGTGTGTGTGTGTGTACTCACCTATTTGTACTCACCTATTTGTGGTTGCAGGGGTCGAGTCACAGCTCCTGGCCCCGCCTCTTCGCTGATTGCTACTAGGTCCTCTCTCTCCCTGCCCCATGAGCTCTATCATACCTCGCCTTAAAACTATGTATGGTTCCTGCCTCCACCACATCACTTTCTAGGCTATTCCATGGCCTGACTACTCTATGACTGAAGAAATACTTCCTAACATCCCTTTGATTCATCTGAGTCTTCAACTTCCAATTGTGACCTCTTGTGTCTGTGTCCCATCTCTGGAACATCCCGTCTTTGTCCACCTCGTCTATTCCGCGCAGTATTTTATATGTCGTTATCATGTCTCCCCTGACCCTCCTGGCCTCCAGTGTCGTCAGGCCGATTTCCCTCAACCTTTCTTCATAGGACAATCCCCGTAGCTCTGGGACTAGTCTTGTTGCAAACCTTTGCACTTTCTCTAATTTCTTGACGTGCTTGACTAGGTGTGGATTCCAAACTGGTGCTGCATACTCCAGTATGGGCCTGACGTAGATGGTGTACAGAGTCTTAAACGAATCCTTACTGAGGTATCGGAACGCTATCCGTAGGTTTGCCAGGCGCCCGTATGCTGCAGCAGTTATCTGATTGATGTGCGCCTCAGGAGATATGCTCGGTGTTATACTCACCCCCAGATCTTTTTCCTTGAGTGAGGTTTGCAGTCTTTGGCCATCTAAACTATATTGTGTCTGCGGTCTTCTTTGCCCTTCCCCAATCTTCATGACTTTGCATTTGGCGGGGTTAAATTCAAGGAGCCAGTTGCTGGACCAGGCTTGTAGCCTGTCCAGATCTCTTTGTAGTCCTGCCTGATCCTCGTCCGATTCGATTCTTCTCATTAACTTCACATCGTCTGCAAACAAGGACACTTCTGAGTCTATCCCTTCCGTTCATGTGTGTGTGTGTGTGTGTGTGTGTGTGTGTGTGTGTGTGTGTGTGTGTGTGTGTGTGTGTGTGTGTGTGTGTGTATGTGTGTGTATGTGTGTGTGTGTGTGTGTGTGTGTGTGTGTGTGTGTGTGTGTGTGTGTGTGTGTGTGTGTGTGTGTGTGTGTGTGTGTTATAATCTTACAAATAGCGCAAAAATTGGCTAAAATGAAATTCAGTGACTCAGTCAATATTCTCCTGCCTGACCTTTTTTCTGCCTCACCCTCTGACATATAAATTTCGTTGGCTGATTCATTTAACCCTTTATTTTGGTTTCTCATCAGTGAATGTTTTGCTTAGTTAACCCTTAAACTGTCCAAACAGATCTATGTTCACATGCGTAGTGCTCCAAAAGTAGATCTAGTTTTTTTTTCATATTTTCAAATATAACAAAAAAAAACGTAGACCAAAGTTTTTTACACGTTTTCAAATGTAAAAAAAACAATAAGAAGATCTACGTTTTTTTACATACTTTCAAATGTTGAAAAAACGTAGATCTACGTTTGGACAGTTTAAGGGTTAATATGCATTGTAGTCAATAAAATACAGTCTAAGCATATTCCCTCATGCTCATGAACACACTCACCTATACAATGTATCAGTCACATCGACTTTTACCTTCTTGATTTGGTTTTCATAAATATAACTGCCAAGCCAATATTATGGTCCAGGACAGACCGAAACATCGAAAAAAAGACTGTTGCAGTGAGGAACTTTATGAGACCTTTCGTCTGTGGAACTGTCAACCCTTTAAACCACTGTGTATTTCCTCCATTTCCAAGTATTGAGTTATTGGTCCCAAGGCTTGAGAGCACTTTCTTTAGTGTTAGTTGTGATCGCAAGTGTTAATCACTTACTTTCCTACATACGTCACACTGTCAAACAGCAAGCAGTAGAGGCTCATGTTCCAAAATTTCCTCATCGATCGTATGGACGCAAAGAGCGAACTCCATCATAACATTCCGGCTTTTTTCCCCTGCTTTTTCTAGCGGTTACACAGACGCTTGTGCCAGCTAAACGGCCTGATAGTGATTGTGTACTTTTTACCCTCCCAAAGCACTGTTACAGGTAGAAATATACGGGCCTGCCATTTTTATTTATTTATTTATTTATTTTTTTTTTTTTTGAGTTTCGGTCCTCGTATGGGTTTCTCCTAGAACACAAAAAATACTAGTAAAAAATTCCCTGACCTAACTACTTAAAAATCACCTGATCTAACTAGTTAAGAATCCACCGATCTAACTAACTAAGAATCCACTGGCCTAACTACTTAAGAACCCAATGGCTTACCATATATATATATATATATATATATATGCAATAAGATCACAGTAAACAGGTGATTTCAAAATATGCAAAACAACCACTCTGAAAGAATAGAGAAATTCCAAGCGCTTTCGTGACTACTCACATTATCAAGGAACTATGAAAGTGAAGCATCCAAGGAAGCTATATAAGGGGTCGGCCAGCACCTCACTATCAGATCCCACAACGGTTAAACACGTGACGCGCGGCGAGCCAACTTGAACAGGTCCTTTGCAAAACTCACCCCCAAGCTATTTATTTGTCCAGTGTATTATTAAATTCTACCCAAATTCTATTAATTATAAATGGATCTAATTTATATAAACCAAAGGAAATATTCATATTATTGTCAAAACTGCTTTTTATGAAACAAGATTCAATTATATTCCTGTCGACCATGGACTTGCTTGATACTACTTTCTCAACTTTTTGAAAATCAATTGGATGGTTAAAATCTCTTACATGAATAAATAGAGCATTGGAATCTTGTCCAGTTCTAATGCTATATTTATGTTGTTTTAATCTTAGTTCGAGATTTTTACCAGTTTGACCGTAATAAACTGATAGTGATAATCTGATAGTGAGGTGCTGGCCGACCCCTTATATAGCTTCCTTGGATGCTTCACTTTCATAGTTCCTTGATAATGTGAGTAGTCACGAAAGCGCTTGGAATTTCTCTATTCTTTCAGAGTGGTTGTTTTGCATATATATATATATATATATATATATATATATATATATATATATATATATATATATATATATATATATATATATATATATATATATATATATATATATATATATATATATATATATCACTTTAAGAGATGAATCAATGTAGATCTTAATGTGGCAGTAACACTCTCAGTAGTATCTCCTTTATCTGATGTAAAAATACACAAGACTGGCTATTACTAAGGGTGTCGGATCACATTACAGCTATGTAAACGAGGACACGAGAAGTCCTTGCTTCACCACCAAGGAGGATTACAAGGCAAGTGCTCAATCTTACACTAACAGTGTGAGTTACTGCCAGAAGATATATTTTCTTGCATGTCTCACATTCACCTGTACAAGCTATAGTGTTGATTCAGACTGGCCGGGAGTGAAGCCTGTCTGATTTTTTTTATTAATGCGCGGATTA